TGATTATTAAACATTATACTATTTTAGCAAATAAAATTAGTGGTTCTTAAATGTTAGTAAGGCATAATTTAGCTGAATTCTGTATGACCAGGATTGTGTAACATATTCAGGTCTCTGCAAGCGTACTTAAATCTACTGATGTTCGGTATTATTCGCCTCGTTTGATAATTATTAATGGGTATCACTTCACTTTTAAAATATATGAAGTTGTGAATGGTAGGTTTTCTTAATAATGTAGTAGAAGTGTGAAATATACAAAAACCAACTACTATGAGGTTGGAAGTGATTAGATTCATATCCTCGTAAACCGTAAAATATATTTACGGAGTTTTGATGTTAGCCACGCGCTTTAAAAGTTATTACTACCGGATACGGGAACCTGTGGAGTACGTTGAAATGTAACACTTTTAGGGTCGACATTTTCTAGCTCCTTTTCGTTTTAAAAGGCAACATCGCTGTATACGCTGGTTACACGAGGGAAACATCCTACTGTTGTTACACCCCTCCACAGCCAGTAGTGGACTCCTGAACCACAAGCGTTGGCTTGGAGTCTTGCCGTTCTACAAACAACGTACCTGATGTACCAATATCTGAAGAAACGTGTTCCAGCCAACCTAGGCCAGTTGAGTTATCATGATAGGCAAACCCGACCACTACGTTAAGGTAGCAACTATGGTCGAGATACTAATTTTTACCGATATTGTCTGCTAAAACCATCTAGGAAACTAAGAATTCCCAGTGATAAAACTTCTCTGGGCCAATATTAATCGACACGGATATTAAGGACTGAATAAATTTCTTTATTTGCAAGTGTTACACGATTAATGGGAAGAATTCGACAAAAGAATGCTGGATTTGGTTAGTTTGCCTTATTTAGATGAACTAGTTTGCACACCTCAATATGTCGCTTGGTCTCATTAGACGACTAATTGTTCTTTTAATATACTTTAGGTTGCAGAGAATGACAAGTAGCCACTTTCAAACTATAAAGACTAGTAGTATACAATATAACCAGTGATCTGAACTACGCATCGAACTAGAGAATTTATAGCTGACAGTTTGTTAGGCTCTCATGATTCCAGGTATTTTTTAAAATAGAGCTGTTACGGGGTTCTGTTCAAATAGTATTGACACGATAAAGTGGTTGTTGAAATGGAACTGAACTGATGAATCACGTATAGCAACAAATGAGGTTACTAACCCTTGGACCATGTACCCCACTTGTCTACGGAAGCCTAGATTGTGACTTCAAATATTGTTTGATGAATACCACTTTGAAACAATTAATATTTGGATATATAAAACTAGAATTTTATGCTGAGTAAATGCATAACTGGAATCATAAAACACTCAAGTGTTATGCTGAACGATTATGATATTGGATTAATTCATAATCTCTACCATTACCGCTTCTCATATACTCATGTTGTACGCGCATAAATCAATGGACCTCAGCACCAAAAATATTTCACAAAACTATGTAGCCCCGAAGTCCTTTCATAAATACATACCTTTGTAAAAGAACCGAAGAATGGGAAAAGTAGTGGTTTCCCTAGCACCCTATAAGTACTCAATTACATGTGAAAGATATAAATTTGATATCAACAAAATGACAGGTCTTTGAAATCAGTCTTACAATAGTCAACTTCTATTTAACCTAATGCAAAACCCAAACCTCTAAATCACTTTCGCCGGAAAAATGACGCTTGCTTTTAGCCTTTAGGAGACGATTATGAACTGTTTTTGAAGTTTAGAAACTTTTTACTAGGTAATAAAATGTATTGTCTTACTGCTTTAAAAATGAAACTACTATCTGACAGCCGAATACTTTTAAATAACCATAGCCCGATTTCCTAGACAATTCTAGTGTACACACTTGGACTAATACTGCTGAGTGTCTAATATGGAAAATATATCGAACTGAATGTTGTGCCGATTAAAAATATCTAAATTCACCAGTCTTCCTTGCAGCGGATAATCTACTGACTTTTTCGGCCTGTTAATTTGAACCGGGTGGTCGCAATAGGAAATACCATTTTCCATAACCCAGTGCAAGCCGAGGAACCGGTCATTACAATCTGTGACTTACGAACCACTACTAACTTGCACTTTTTTTCAAGAAAACCATTTAGTTCAGCAACACAGAAGTACATTGGATTGCTATGATACCGTTGTGTGCGAGGATGCATAACTAATGAACTGCCTAAAACTATTTGTAGATGGAAGTATATAGGTAATACAAATTTTACTTGACGGTTATGTATGGATTCGAGCTTGTCAGTACAGTCAAGCTGTAAAACATCATCGTACAACCCAAGTAAAATAGCATAGTAGTCTCTATAATGTGATGCTTGACAGTGAATGTAAGATATTTAAATCGTAATAATACTTTTTATACATCGTTTGTCGTTAGACATGGACCTCAAACGACTATACTAATTGTCGCTTGTTATTATAACTTGAAAATGGTCATAATTAATCATTTTGGGTCGGTTTTATGAGTCTTCAGGATCCAGCAACCGAATTCCCATAAATCCTTACAGATATCGTGCAAATCGTCGTGCTGAATATTTTCCAACCGAAAATTGATGAGAAACGAGCTTTATTCATCTGCAATCTGTATTATGTACTTGTATCAAGATGTCAAAGATGAGACTTAACTAGCTTACACAGTACGCACGCATTAGACAACCAGTGAATCGAAGTATTTCAGTCAGTCAATCAGTAACAACGTAGGACTTCGTACGTACGTACATCAGTTCGAGTTGCCATACCACATTAGCACAGAGATGCAGTTGTCGACTCAAATTCCGTAGTGGTAGATGTAGTGAGAGTGTAAGCTGTAATCGGGAAGATTAGGGTTTACAGATGTTATTTAGAGAGTATAAACCAGTGGAAAAAAATTGGAAAGAAAATAAAAGACATGAAGAATTCAGAAGATTAGAATTTGAGAGAACACAAAGAGTGGATGCACCTGCGCCATTACAAACGATTTTGAGCCATGTCATTCAAGGTCTCTAACCATCGGTTGCTATCATCTCGTGGTCCCCAACCAGATAGTCTACACCTACCAATATGACTCAGTCCACTTGTCAGTGACTTCATGGACTTGTGCCATGTTTTAGTATAGCCGCCCCTAGCTTTCTTCCAACCTACTCCTACACCATAAAGCATCGCACATCGAGGCAGTCGGTGGTTGGGCATACGTAACACGTGTCCCAGCCATCTCAACTGATGAAGTTTCACTACTTCATCAATTGATTTGCCATCCTTACCTAGTACCCGTTTCCTAACAACTGTGTTACTTACTCGATGGTCCCATGATATACGAGCAATGATTCGAAGACACCTATGATCAAATACTAGTAGCCTACGGATATCCTCTACTCTTGCCGGCCAGGTTTCACTGCAAATGTCTGATACAAATATACATCACACGTAAAATCAACACAGGTGCATCCGTCCGGAAATGGCTCATCACAGAATACCGTTAGATTCATTATTACAAGGGATAACTAAATGCTGTGACAAGCTCGTACAACTTGGCATATACCTCGTTAAAGCACATACAGCATTTGGCTACTATGATTATGATCCGAGATGAAAATGTTTACTTTAATGATTAGGAAAATAATTAAACCGCATATAATTTACTTTATTACATCTCACGTAGTTAGGTATTCAGAGTCAGTGGATAACGGAAGTTCCTGAAAATGCCGGGAAAATCAACGTCCTCTAGTGCAGCTGAAATAAGAATGAAACTTACAACATAGCTTATACTTGTGTGCATGACAATAACTTTTCGGTTGCACTTCGAACTATCTGATTATTTTCGTGAAAATGTTAGTTGGTACGTTAGATGAAAATAAGATCGATACAACCAGGCAGTTATTTTCGACGTTAACACTAGTGTTGCAAAGCTAGAATGCTAAACCACATCTAGTGCTTATTCAAAGGGTTTAAGCATGGTAAGTGTGATCTTTTTGGAAAATATATAACCAGCAACCATGTGAAGCAAAACAAGTAGCTACATAGTTTATGTCTAAAACAACCTTATATACCTTGTCTAAACACGTCATTTCGAGATTCAACTATCAACCAGCATGTCAAGTATTTCTGACTTTCAAATAGGCAAGTTTAGTATCGATGATATATGTATACATAATCATCAAAATCGAACTTGGGTGTCAACTTTTTTCGATGAAGTCGTAGAATGTGCAGAAACAATTAAAAAATATCAGATCACGAAACGAATACAAAAATGTGTGCCCAAGGGATATCAATACATGAAAATTCATGATTCAAAGGAACGGAATACAAGCACACCAAGACCATATCGGCTGAATGTATGAGAAACTTTAATTGCCTTAGATCTATCTATAGTCCAACCCAACAACCACTTGTTATCAAACGTGTCCAAAGTAAATTAACTTCAACTGAGTACGTTCTCACCATTCAAGACAGAATATCGTACCACAAAGACGACTTTCCTGACCCACAGAATACAAAAGTGGAGGTTGTCAGCATTCATGATTGTATTTAAACTACTTTACGTTTAGATACCTATGTTAAGTAGAGATAATTTGAGCGTCATACCTTAAAATTTTGTCACTGACAGGATAAAACGTATCTTACTGAGAGAACAGATATAAGGTAATGTTCCACTTAAATATTACTTAGAATCAGTCAAAGTAGCGATCCATGGAGAATCAGCCACGACTTAGAAACAGAAAATCACTACTGATATGCTTAAAGTGGTAAAATCATGGAGTACGACGACCATTGCAGGCAAACCTCAAGACTAAAATGCAACATGAATACAAGAGAATATACTGAACCTATCAAATATTAAGATATTTACTTGAATGATATGGTAGTTTAAAAATGGCAGGTGGGTCAATCCAAACCCGAACCAACCACCTTGCTTTTGTAAAATTATGGCAAACATGTCGCCAAGACAAATTTATTCAACCACATACTTTACATTGTCATATTATGAATCAAGCAATCAGTGTTGACGCTGTGGAACTATCATACTTCCAGTTAGGTGGTAGAACTCTTTTTCTTTTGTAGTAGCGTGCCAAACGTTGGATACGACTTTCAACCAGAATAAGTCTGAATTTGCTGTCTTTATCCTTGGCATTCCTGCCCAAGTGTTTACGAATAGCAACTGCCTTTTTGACTAATTGGTACAAATCTTCTGGAATATCTGGTGCCAAACCCTTGGACTTCAGAATGCGAAGTATTTTGTTTCCAGCTAGCCACCTGACCTGAGCGACACCAAAGCTGTCACGCAAAATAACACCTAAATACGTAATATTACACAATGAGTGACTAACCAATTTGAGATGGTGATAATCCCTTTTTCGCTAACTTGTATATCTGCTCCTTCACTTCATCTGCCGTCATTTTTTGCCATGTTGGGACAGATCGCCTATAAGGCAAAGCACTTCTTGAAATCCCTTTCCCACCACTGTGCATACGACCCATCGTTGACTGTCACGCTTATAGTAACAGAACCCGCTGCTTTGCCAATTGTACTTAAGTGATTTAAACAAAATCACCACAATAGAAAATTTGCTTCTTTTAGGATACCTTCAAGTAATTGACTGCATGGATAAATGGTAAAAATATTGCTTCACAGATCAACAATCTTCTTATTTACTTAAATCGACAAATATTTCGTACTTGATTAAGCTCTGTAGCATAGCACTGACGTGGCAAGTAATACTGAAGTTTAAAACTCGGTACCTGCAGCCTAATGCCAAACTTTTACTCAATAAAATGGACGAATTGCTCGAATTAAATAATGGGAATAATCCTAATTTGATGGGCTTAGTGGAAACATGAAAAACTCAAATAACGGACTGGTTGCTTGCTACACGCGCTATATCGTTTCTTCAGAAAATCATGGAAGTTGGACTATGAGCTGAGTACAACTTGAGTATGATTTTATCCATAGAAACACATCATGCACATGAAGTGGCATTCTGTTATATATAGCCAATAATATAAATATCCGCTCCTTTGCTAGCGAATCCCATGACAGCGGTACTTGTGAAATCATTAGCAGTAAATTGGCTATCGGATGTAGTACATTTATGCTCGGTGTTTTCTATCGGTGATGAGGAATGACCAACAATTCACTGTGATCGCGGCGGCTCGCTGATGGACCCTGTAGTCATAGAGAAAGGTACTGTTTTAAGGCTACTTCAGCATCTCAAACCTGATAAGTCCAGTGGTCCTGATGATATTCATTTTAGGATTATGAAAGCCCAATCATATGTAATTGCTGAACCATCAGCGATACTGTTTGACATGTCTCTGAGGTAGTCCAGACTGCCTAGAGACTGGAAAGACGCTATAATAAGTGCGGTGTATAAGGCTGGGAGTAAGGATTTAGTTAGTAACTATAGACCCGTTAGCTTAACTATTGCAGTTGTAAAACTGATGGAGAAAATCATTCGGATATCCGTTCTTAACTATGTTCAAATGGTTCAAATGGTTGTAGACGGAATAGAAGAAGCTTTCGCTTAACAGGCTTCCGTGTCTAGTAGCAGGGGATCACCAAATCCTCCAGGCAGGAACCTAGGTATGTTAACAATAAAAAAGGAAAAGAAATTGGTAAATCATAGTGTGATGCTGTCCTTGGTCCTTAAGAATAGGTCAAGTTGCCTCTTGAAGGACTCCTGAGAAGTCGCTTGGACTAGCTCGGCCGGCAGCGAATTCCAGCTTTTGACAACTCTTAAGGAGTAGAAGTTGTGTCTACATTCCGTCTTGCTATGTTGTGTTTCCAGTTTCTGGGTGTTACTCCTTAGGTTATTATTCGAACTAAGTTTAAGTAGGTGTTTAAGAGGATGTCCAGAAGTGTTAAGAATGCTATAAGCCATTAGTAAATCACCTCTAAGACGCCTATATTCTAGTGGGTAAAGGTCTAGTGAACGGAGGCGTTCTTCGTAAGGCTTAGATTTGAGTCCTCGAACTGATTTCGTGGCTCGCCGTTGGATACGCTCCAAAGTGACTTTGTCCTTATGGAGTGAGGTGGGAGTACTATGTTTCCGTACTCTAAGGGCATAATCTTTTCTCCAGGGCACAACATGGTTTTAGGAAAGGTTTATCTTGCTTGACAAATCTTCTCATTGCACGAGAAGATTGGACTGCTGCAAAAGATCGGAATGTTCCTGTGGATGTGATCTTCACAGATCTAAGTAAGGCCTTCGATAAGTCTCCCACTCTGGTCCTAAATTCAACCCAAAACGTTTTGGAATCCATTGTACAGTCGTAGATTGGATAAGTAACTTTCTCCATGACAGGAGACAAAGGGTAGGGGTAAATGGGGCTCTCTCCCCGTGGGTACCTGTAAAAAGTGGAGTCCCCCAAGGTACAATCCTCGGTCCTCTTCTCTTTTTACTTTATGTAAATGAATTAGCAACCATAGAGAAATCATCCGTTCTACTCTTCGCTGATGACATAAAGATTTGGAGACCGATACACAGTATGTCGGATAGGATAGTATTACAGAATGATCTTAGCTCATTGGTGGCATGGTTGGACAGGTGATCACCAGGAGTAGATCCTAATAAGAGTGTAGTGGTGCAAACAAATAACTACGATGAATCGTATCACTACACAATGGGTGGATTCGTGCTACCCGAAGTAAGAAACTATGAAGATTTAGGAGTCATATTAAGTAGTGATCTCAAAACCACTAGTCACTGTAAAGCTGCTGCTGCGAAGGACTATAGGGTATTATGGTCTATTCGTAGGTCTTTCCAGTGTTTAGATGATGAAATGTTTGGATTATTGTACCCGATTTATGTGCGACCACATTTAGAATATGGGGTTCAAGCAGCGAGTCCTTGTCTCAACTATGAAGCAGAGATGCTGGAAAGAGTCCAACGACAAGGTACTAAGATGGTACAAGGTCTATCTGACCTATCTTATGAAGACAGACTGAGACACATCAACTTATTTCCGTTATCTTACCGTAGAGTACGGGTTGATCTAATATTGGCTTATCGTATACTGAACGGTGACCTTGGTATTACCATGTTTTATCTCTTGCTTCCGTCTAGGACCGATCATTTGAGAGGACATTTGAAGAAAGTTCAAAAACCAAGATCAAATCGTTTACGTCTGGAGTTCCGTTTCTCGCACCGAGTAGTGAATTACTGGAACTCTCTACCGGAACACGTAATGTCGGCACCTTCTGCTGATATATTCAAAACAAGATTGGACCTCCACAGTATTACAAACTGCAAGGATTAATATAGATCGACAGACCTCCTATCCTTATTAGTGAAGAGTGAAGGATTAGGTGCTTGCTAACCCAATATATCTGTAAAATCCATAATAAGATCGTGTAAAACCTCATTATTAGGTTAGTGTATATCGTAGCAAGCCTGCTGAGATACAGCATACAGTCGAATGCTAGAAAAACCCACCCCTTTACTTAGTCCAGGGCATACTTATATCCCTAACACTTAGAGATTTCAAACTGTCAATAGTTGACTTCGCCAAACACACACAGTGAAGCATATTATTTATTTAAAGCCTGTTTTACTAGCTTCATGGAAGTTAGCAGACTGATGGAGTATCATTCCAGGTCTGCCACACGTGAATTGTCCCTAAATCTCTTCTTGATGTCATCTAATTCCCAGCTCTCGCACTGAGAACTGATAGCATCATCTTATTCTTGATTTTATTGGTAACATTTAGTTGAATCACTGTGTGAATAATAGAAGCTGGAATTTTTAACTCTCATGTGTAAAATAGGACCGTACAAAAAACACGTAAAATGTCAAAATTGAAAACGTGCTGCTCAACAGTGCTGATTGTACCGATGCCGATTATCCACATGACTCCGTTAAAATCTCTGGATGTGTGGTTAGCTCCATATATAACTAACATTTAGAACAGTTTAAAGTAAAGCGAAGGGAACCCCGTAAGTCAAATGAACTATAATCTAAACGTTCATCTAATCGAAAATTCTTAAGAAAATTCGTGTGAAAATGGCCTGTGAAGCAGGATGAATTGACTGGATAAAGGTATAGTAATAAACTGATAGTGCTCTAGAAGCTGTCTCTGTGGTTCGTCATATTTTATTTGATTTGGATTTTTCTTTGGTGTATATTAACAGCTCGCAGCACTAGATTATATTACATAATATTTTGTGGTACTTCTTACTTTGCTATAAAATCTGGAGAATAAGGAGGAAGTAATTTACCCTTCTAAAGTGTGTCATAGTACTGTGTCTTAACCAGGGAATAATGCAGAGAAGATTTGAAAATACACTTACAAGTCGTGATGATAAGTTAATGAAATGTAAACAACAAATATAGTCAGGAGCAATCCCCCGAATTTAGGAAACCTCTAAACATGCCATAAGTATTCGGAGTTTGGAAACACTTTTACCAGGAACATTTATAATCGAAGTATGTCATCCCGGTCAAATTGGAGATGAAATGGTCTGCAGATATATCGGTATGTCGAAGAATGTTTGGTCTAAACTGGCTGGTAGTTGAAAAAGATGCGTAGCATGGCGTAACCACACATGATGTGATGCGGATGCATGATCGAGAAACTCCAGTTAGGTGTGTCCAGTAAAACTAATGCGGCCAGCATCAAATGTCGAAGACTTACAGAACTATTTACTTTTGGGCTGATTTACCCCTAGATGTTACTTTGACGTACAAGTTGAGTTGCATCCACTTATTATGTCTATAAATAATTCCCTCAAGTTGTTGATAATGCACAAAACTGAATGAATAACATGCAAATTCATATATGTAGAGTGATATGCTGTAAAGGATGCATAAAAAACATAGTGGCCTGGTGAAAAATGATCATGAAAAAGATAGTTTGAAACTTGAAACGTTAGGGCACGTAAGAACGTGTTTAAGATAAAACCAGTGATCGTGTAGTGATATTGTATTCTAGCTACACGATTCTTGGGGTTGAGCGTACGATAACTGAGAAGTTATACATTTAGCATTCAGCTCTTAGAGGGGGGTGAGAATTAGTGAACTCGGAGATAATTGATCCTTATGGCATAGTTCGGCCATGCAGGCGGGGTCACTCTATGCAGCACATTCCTTTACATAATGAGTACGTTTTTCTTTCCCTAACCCAAATGCGTTCTTCATATATACTGACTCGTCCTACTGTGATGGTCAGCAATATGGTGTTTAGCACATCTACCCCCATGTAGCTACTAAAAATTACGGTGCCTAGATATTTACAATGAAACAAGCAAGTATATGTTTGATCAGTAGGCAAAACTCATATTAATTACTACCACCAGATTGTGACTTTAGTTAAAAAATGTTTAAACAAACTGCGGACAAAAACTAGGAATTAAGAAGTGTAACAAGGTGAAATAGATCTTAATAACAGAGAGAAAGCCGAAGCGAGAGTCAGGGAAGTGAAATGCGCTCATCTATTAAAAGGTCGTAAACTGGCCTCATAAATGTGCAAGTGACGTGTTCGGT